TTCCTCCTGAGATGTGTGCAAACCTTGTGACCAACTACAAGATTGGGAACAAATATTTATTTCAATCAATGACGTGAAAATCAATTGATGACTTGTAATAACTAATTATGTAATGTTTTTTTCTGGGTTTTGTGATTGCTATTATATCCATCTCTATTATAATGAAACTTACGATAGAAATTAGAGACTTTGATAAACTGATTACTTGATTTTTCATCTATTTATCAAAGGACCATATTGTATGTGGGTTTTACACTGCTGTACATACATTCATTATCTATTCCCTCTGCTTTTCCTTTCTCTAGGCGGAAGAGTAGGAAGTATGCTGACGGTCAGCTTCCCCCAATGGGAACCAAAATCCCGCCTAGTTCCCCTCACAGACTCAGTGAAGTCAGGATGTTTGATGGCGGACAAATCATCGGAGGTGTGGGCCTCGTGTCTCCTGAGAAGAAGTCACTGATTCGCCAGTCCCTGGGGCAGGACGCTACACTAGAGATTATAAGCAGAAGAAGAGGCAGTGGATCCTCATCCTCCACCTCATCTGTTTTTGCTGACAGTCCTCTCGGACAAACTGAGAGACTGTTTCAGGGCCATATGAATGCCAGCAATGCCCAAAGGTGAGCTGATAGCCAGAGTGATTGCCTTGTTGCATTGCAGCCTATGACAAAACCACAGGAAACATAAATCACAGATGTTCTTTTAAACGACAAAAAAGATAAACTTTTCTTGTGTCTTTCATAACGTATGAGAAAGATAACTAAGCAGTGGGTTCGGTTATTTTCCATGTTTAGCCAGTTGCATCACAAAAGTAGTCCTTATAATACACTCAGTGAATGCTTATAGTGATAGATTATACCAGTAGCTGATAATCAGCCCAGATATGCTCTGCTACAAGAACAAAACATGACATGTTGCCCTTTTTGAATTAAATACACAACTAACGACTTATCTCGCATTTGTCCTATGAGATATTTCTGTTACTAATTGCGTTAGAAGTTTGAAAATCTGACAGTCAATAACTGCAAAATATCACACAGTGATGATATCTGCAAACTAAAACAACAGGCCTCTTGAGATTTGCTTCGAATGCTCAGAGTAGAAATGTGTTATAAAAGTAAAACTCCATTAACAAAAGTTGTGCTTGGTTCAGCTGGACTCTTAAACTGACCCCACTAAAGTCACAAAATGCATAAAATTATTAATCTTATTTGGTCCTTTAAGGCTTTTTCAAGTATGATCAGTAGGCAGCACAGGGAGCTCAGATTCATAAACTAAGTGTCAATGGGGAAGTGACCAGTGAGGAAGTGGAGAGGGCAGTTGTTTTTAAGATTAAGCTTCAACTGTTCCTTTTGATAAAGTGTATGGTTAGGGCTGATCATGTGAACCTTTCTTCCTCCTGATGATGTAGACTCAGGGTGAACTACCAGGATGCTCTCGGAGTGTATTTCCCTTCCAATATAAAAAATCATGAGACCAATGGTTGGGAAATGGTGCTTAAACAAAATTATGACAGTTACATGGTGGCGAGCTGTTCTCATGGTTCATATAAGTGTTATGCGATGGATATAATGTATGTATTCCTATTTATCAGTGAGAGAATCAAAGCCATGGAGGAGCAGATAGCCAGTCTAGCAGGGCTAGTGCACCACGCTTTGTCCATAGGACCAGGAGACAAGGAT